GTATCAGAAAGTCAAGTGAGCTCAAGATGCATATCACAGTGAATTTAACTGATTTCTGGACATCATGAAAATATAGGTAAATTTCATCTAAATTACTTGAGATACTTTAGGTGACCTTTCAAATGGTATATCATACTCGGTACCATCTTTTAAGGTTTTAGCTGTAGCAGTGGGATGGGACTTATTTGACATCCTGTATATGATGGATGGTCACCTCATGATATCGTTACATTTGGATTACAACTGAGTAACCTGTTGTAGTTAAAAGTTCTGCAAATCTGTGGATATCTCAAGTCAACATTGGATTGAAATGACATTTGAAGCTCTAAATAACACTACTGACTGCAAATTAAGTTAAAATCAACTTAAAATACTTGACAAAAATATATACACAATATTTATGGAGTATACTTTAATACAATAGCCTTAGAATAAATATGTTGTAGCCTATATGCATGGAAAATAAAGAGTTAACTGTTAAAAATAAATACAATACAAGTAAATGCTTCTTTGTTATTAACTGCTGAAATGAGTGGTAAAATGCTTGTTTGCAGAAAACTAAAAGTTTATTAGAGCATTGAAATAATGGCCGAAAAAGACTAAAAATTGATGTTGGTGAAAGTATTAATTTTCCCCCAATTTTTTTCCCTGGCATAATGATTCTAGCATTTGAAACAAATTCCATCTCCAAAGCAATATTTTATGCATGGCATGATTTTTGTAACAAAATTTAAACTGGGTATAAATTCTGTAACAATTTTTATGCCTAGCATGAACTTTGTAACAATTTTTATGCTGGGCATTAATTTTGGAACAAATTTTATGCCCGGCATAAATTTTGGAACAAATTTTATGCCCGGCATAAATTTTGGAACAAATTTTATGCCCGGCATAAATTTTGGAACAAATTTTATGCCGGGCATAAATTTTGGTCAAATCAAATTCATAAAATAGTGGAACTATATATTCTCATTATTTGATCAATTCTCATTTCAAAAAAAAGGGTGTTACAAACTCTTTGTTCAATGTCAGGTAGATCCTACCTTCTACAAATGCCACAGTTTGCGGATAGGCGGGGCTACATGGGCAGCAAATCTCGGACTTGATGACTATACTATCAAAAAGATTGGGAGATGGAAATCTTTAGCCTTTAGAAAATATATTAGGTAGACATTTAAAAACTCAGACAGGTGTCGAGTATGCATTTTCATGTAAGCCCCAAAGTTGCTCAGACAGGTGTCGAGTATGCATTTTCATGTAAGCCCCAAAGTTGCTCAGACAGGTGTCGAGTATTCAATTTTCATGTAAGCCCCAAGTTGCTCAGACAGGTGTCGAGCATACAAATTTCAAGTAGCTAATCTTTCTCTTCAGGAAGATGTACTAGAAACTTAATTGAGATAAACCCGCATTTTCTGAATTCAAAATTTTCATACAATTCTAATTCCTTTATCTTACCTGAGAATGATAGTTTATTACACTACATTACATTAATTTGCCCTTATTTCAGAATTTGCGGATTTACTTTAATTCATTTCTATGATGTTCTTATATTTTGGTATTCATGTATTGATTTATGTGTATCAATAAATGATTTAACTACTTTGTAATTAATCTTCTTTTCTTTTGGGCTCTCGCGAGAGATCGCGCATGGCCTTATTTTCGCCCAAGAAGATGAGTTGGAGATGGTATTATAATATATCCAATTGAGCTAATTAACAGTTATGTCAAATTCTAAACTCTTGTAGCTAATTAACTTAAATTAGCCATTAATTTCTTAGGTATTGTGTTTTGTGTTAATTGGCTCAATATTTATTTATATTAATTTTATATTAATAATTTTACATGTACGACTCTCACAGCCATATTTATACTCTACATGAACATAAATTCAAATTATTGACAATAATTTCATTTATGGCAATGTGAGAGTCGGTTAAGGTTTAGGTATGAACAAGCCCTGAGAAGACCATTCCCCGGTTATCCCAGGTAAATGTTTCTGGTAAGTTACACTGAACGAAACATCAAGCTTCAGATCTCGAGAGTACGAGATGAGACTTCAGACGAGATATCGATAGGATTGAAGTTGGAGGGTCTTCTCCCTAGGTCCTTAAAAAATCCTTAAACATCAATGTAAGTTATACATTTCGATTCTTTTCCCTCACCTCCTTCCCCAGCTTACACCACCAGTTGGGGCCTTATTTTCGCCCAAGAAGATGAGTTGGAGATGGTATTATAATATATCCAATTGAGCTAATTAACAGTTATGTCAAATTCTAAACTCTTGTAGCTAATTAACTTAAATTAGCCATTAATTTCTTAGGTATTGTGTTTTGTGTTAATTGGCTCAATATTTATTTATATTAATTTTATATTAATAATTTTACATGTACGACTCTCACAGCCATATTTATACTCTACATGAACATAAAAGCTAATTATTGTATGTCTAACTGGGTAATTTTTGCTAATGGTATTTACCAAAGAGATATATTCATCCCAAGGGAAATTAACATAATGGGAAATTATGAGGAACTTTACAATAAACTTTGTATCTTTCAACGATTATACTAGATAGATTTAGACCCCAAACAAAGTTCACAATTATTTAGGCTTTACACTACCCTTTGCATTCGTTTGACTTCACTTCTTAAAAGAGAGCTTCGTCTTCACTCTTTCAAACTAAAATAAACCTGTGAACTCACCGCGCCAATCAGTGTTCGTCGGCCAAATTTGACCGACGTTCTTTATATGGTCATTCCTTCTGACGTCATCGTTGAGCCCGGAATTGACCAATGACATGTGCATATTTAATTAGAACGCATTTGGCGTATGTTTCTTCAAGCTCGCTGATTGGTGGAAGGTCAGCGCGTAGGTCAAAAGTGATTTACCCAAACTGTCGCCAGTACCCGTCGTGGGGGCGGGGCTACTAAACTGTAATATGGTCTCTGCTAGGCAGAGTGTAGTTTAACTATACTCTGCACGCAGGGTAGCTTTACACAATATCTGATCATCCAAAAATGTCCTTTATTGTTAAACATTTTTGCCTTTTCAGAATTTCAGGATTTTTTCCTTGTTCTGGGGTAAATTATGACAAATATGTACTTTTATTGCAAAATGAAATGTTTGAGTTAAAATCCTGGAAAGAAATTGTTTGCTCTTTAGATTGTCAAGAATTCCAGAAAAACAACCACTTCAGAAAGCGGCAAAGTATTCATATAATTCACATGTAATATATTGTTATTACTCACATGAGTCAATATATGAGGATATGGTGTTTTGTATTTATGTGTTGTTTTTAAGTAGATAAATTATGAGGCAAACATCAAATGAATCATGTTGTTACGCAAGGTCAAATACTCACTCATTATTCTTTAAGTGTCAGGAATCAACAGATTAATTGCCTCTTAAGTAGGATTTAAAAAAAGAAGTAGGTGGCAAGGCTTTTTTCTTTTACTCCAAAATTGCAAAAATCCCAGAGTTATCCCATGAGTATTGCATAATTAACCTTTTTAACTTTTTTTTATAAAATATAGAGGGATTTAGTGACTCCACAATTTACACCCTTGGACATTCTGTCTGTGCTGATAATAATCATGGAAATATAGCATAACTCAGAAACTCAAAAACAATCAAAATGTAATTTTCCAACATCAACTATGCGAATTAAATATATCAACATCACACTTAATGATTTTGTAACTGACTCCTGAATGAAAATTGACATTTAATGAAGATGAACTCTCTGCTCTTAAATCCCAGCCTAAAATATCCCATTCATTAAGGGAGTAAGGAAGTAACATACAACAGAAAAACTGATATGAAAAGTTAAGAGTCAGTGAGGAATTTAATAATGAGAGCGAAAGACCTTCCAAACTATGTAAATTTTCTTTAGTGCAAGCCAGGGGTTTTATTCAAATCTTGGGAGTACGCAGAATGTGTGAAATATCTTGGAAGGGTATACAGTTTCTGCTTGCCAGTGGCTATCTATGATTGGGTTTTAATGTCCTAAAATAGCTATATAACTGACAGTAAATTGATGATAAAAAGTAAGTTTGCTCTTCTACTATGGTCTTCAATCACTTCAGAGGAATCTGAAATTATATGCCTGCCTGGCTGGAATCTAGGTTGGTTAATGTGCTTTCTGGCCATTCAACTTTTAATCCCAATATAGAGAGCTGAGGGAAGGGAATGACTTTTACAGTAAGGGAGGTGGAGGCCTATTCTTTATCTCATTAAGACATCCCCAAGCAATTACTGCTCTAAATGTACACAAACCTAGTGTCCAAAACATAATGGGGGCAACATGATGGGGGCAATTTTACATAACTAAAAAACTGGGCAAAATGCATCGATGTGTACATACTACTACATGAATATTTAAAGTTTTTCTCCATAAAGTTTCTTCACAAGATCTCTAACTTTTTTGAAATTGAAATCATTACTATGACATGTTCAATAGGTTCCATATTTCACCCATGAAGTGGAAAGAATCAAGCTGACCTCATAAGTCAAAACTGATTTCATCATTATCTTCACATTCAGAAAATTTCACGATAAACATGACATTTTCCTTATCAGACTGAAACCACCAAGGAATAGAGTGGACAAATTACAATTACATAAATCATAACCTTGTATATACCTTGTATGTAGCCTGTATTAGAATTTTAGGAAAGACATTGCTATCATGGCAAGTCTAAGTCTTTCTTGGGTTGGTATTTTACATTTTAGGATTCTTGCGTAATCCCCTTCAAGTTTACTAAAACTACCAGTACAAGCAACTTTACGATACTCCCACTTGGGAAAAGTAAAGTTTACTACTAAAAAAGGTTAAGATGCTATACTCTACACATGAGTAGCTGATCTAGTAAATCGTTAATCATCACAGTCAACCTCAAAATAACTGGTCTGAAGACATTTACATGCATTTTCAATTCATTTACATTTACAGTAATCCAACGCAACTAGGATTTTGTGAGGGATCGTGTAAATGAACTCACCTCAGAAATATAGAGGGCACTACATATACAGTCAGTTGCAGCCTCGTGGACTTCTGATGAACACTTGGGATTACACTGAAAGTGAAACACAGTGACATCTTTATGACAAAAAATAAGTTAACCTTAAGTTAACCTTGTGAGAGGTCAATTTCACATTTTAAGAAAAACATTCATCATGGCTATTTTTAGTTTTCCAATTATCTCTCCAAGTCTATCAACAAGACATCGACATTTGAAATGTCACCACCTGTCATTTGTAAGGGAAGCCGAACTTTAAATGCCCTACACCAACTGCCAGACACCAACTGCAGGGTGCCAAACACTGTCCATAAAAAAGTTGGAGACTTTAACAATATGTGACATAACAACATTGGACTACCTACAATTCATTCCTAATCTATTAACACCAGAAGCAACCAAGGCCTTAAAAATAAACTTAACAAGGTCTTCAAGATTAAGTTAACTTACAAAGCCTTGAACATTAACTTACCAGTGCCTGGAAGGGTGCAGTCAATAAAGGTGAGTTGACGATATGTTCCTGAGGTATGGCTCCAATATTGAACCAGCTACTTAGACATCTGTATATCCGAACATGAGGCCTGAACTGGATCTCTGAAGTGGGTTGTTGGCCAGGGTCTGGGTACTGGGTTAGACATGAAGTCTGCGACAAAACACATAGAACAATATAAAGTCTATAAATGCTACATATTTAAGATGAGATAGGTGATATTATAATATCAAGTCTAAAAATGCTACATATTTAAGATGAGATAAGTGATTATCCAGGGGTAGTTTTAATCACAGTATAAAACATTTAGCACAGCATTGTATTCATGAAATGGAGCATATTCAGTACATACATCAGTACTATTATATAAATTGTTGGGATTTTGTACTTGTGCTTACCAATAGGTTGAGTACCAGGGGAGCTGCTTGCATCATTTCTTCAGTAACTTCATTCCTCCTATTGGCTCCTAGCCTCAGTGATCTACTGGATATCTACAACAATAACATATGAGTAACTTTCCTCCTCCCTCTTTCTATTTGGAGTGTCTATATCACCTCACTCTTGCTATATGGGAGTGTCAAGAATAAATTTGCTTGTTTGCGTAAATTATTTCAAGGTGTTTGACTAAGTGGTCCACAACTCATACAAAAGGCCGTGGTGTGTACTTGTATGACTATGTATGAGTGCTCATAAAAGAACACAGGGCTCCTTCAAGGAGGGGATCCTAGGTCTGCCTTCTATGGTTACATGCGTTAGTTACGACAATATTTATACGGGATATACCCCAGATGTATTGTTCACCTTCATTGGTGGTAAACCAAATACAATACTATATACATCCTTTGTTTTGCAATATGGGAGTATCTTAAATTTTCCTTTTGCCATATGGGAGTATCTTACGTACTCTCTTTTGCTATATGGGAGTTTCTTACCTCCTCCCTATTGCTATATGGGAGTACCTTACCTCTTCTGGGAGAACTGTGAGGACCTCCAGCAGAAAGAACAGGTGCTGGGAATTAGTACCAAACCTGTAACAAGAAATTACAAGCAAATACTTGAAGTACATCCAACTGAAAGAATTGTATAACAAAAACCGAATTAGTGAAGGGAGTTAGTGAATTATCAAATCTGAAGAAAAAATTTATAACATCTCTGCAATAATGAGTAAAGAAACAAGGCATCAACCTGACAAAATCTCATCGCCTGCAAATGGTTACAAAAGTGCAACAGCTGTTACAGATGAAAGTCAAATCTCAAATCAGATTGCTATTTGTGTTGCATCATTATTCCCATTGATCGTACCATTATAAACTCAAGTATGTTCACTTACTTTTGTATAATTTCAGTGGTTGCATGCTTCCAAGTGGCCATCTGCAGAGCCAGGTCAGCCAGGGCAAGACATAACTAGTAAAATAATAGAATACAATGTTAATATCAAATACATATTAAGAAAATATGAATTCATTTTTCGATACTGTTATACATGGATCCTTAAGTTTGGTAACACTCTGAAAAGTAAAACACTGCTCAGATGGTTCCCATTGATTTCTAAGTTACTCACAACTTGCAACCTGAGTTACACTGACAAAGACTTTAGCATCCTAATCTCTTATTAGGCCCACATAATAATTCAACCACTAGTGTCAAAATGATAGCTATGGTGTCCAAATGACTGAATCATTTCTTTGCCATGATACCTGATGGTGTCAAAATGACTGAATCATTTCTTTGCCATGATACCTGATTGTGTCAAATTGACTGAATCATTTCTTTGCCATGATACCTGATTGTGTCAAATTGACTGAATCATTTCTTTGCCATGATACCTGATGGTGTCCAAATGACTGAATCATTTCTTTGCCACAATGACTGATAGTTTCAAAATAACAGATGGTGTCAAAATGACTGTAACTCACCTGAGTCACAATGACAGGGGGAGTAGCTGGTCCCACTTTGGCTGCATGGTTTAACAGGGAGTCCCTCAAAGACTGAAGACAAATAAAAAAATATATTTGTGACATCTAAACTTGTCAGCTTGGAATCAATTTGCGAGTATATGTTACATCAATATGTTGAAAACTAAACTAAAAATTTAAAGTGAAACGCCAATAAATCAGAGAGGAGATTCCAAGAAATTCACCTCTTAGTCCCCTCTATTTGCTATATTTTGAAATATAAAAGAAATCAGGCATTTCTTTAGTTTATTTCTTGATATTAGTGGTGCAACTCATATGTCAGTACTTGCCACTCACTCACTGAACCTCTACAAATAGTTGCTTGAGTATGTTTTTCAAACTTGAGTAGGCATGTTTTATTATAACCCTGAGAATGATCATTTTTTGTATGCACTGAACGAATAAAATATTGTCTCCAGGGGCAAAATGATTAATTTTTACAATTTTCCCTCATTTTTGCAAGGGACACTCGATCACTGTGGCATTTTACACTTTCTACTCCAGTGGCTTTTTTCTGACGAATAGCACCACTACTTGATATGTGGCATACGGTGATGTTTACATTATAGATGGCTCTTAACCTACCATGTGTGCAGTTGCAGGTAATTCGTGAAATGCATACTGAATCTGAAAATACAAAAACTTAAGGATTCAATAGTTGACATATTTGCTCTGCATTGTTTCCTAAACTTAAATACTAAATAAAAAACTAATATTTATAAATTTTTCACTAAAAAAGGAAAGCCGACTTATTCTTTATAAGCTTTAGAGATCATATCATTTAAGCAATAGCATGCCCAAAGTATAAGCATTCACCCAAACATCTCCCAGAAAATTTCTGATTTGCCTTTTTACGTAAAATTGTTGTAATTTTGGTAAAGGTTGACTTGAAGTTGGTCAGAATTGGGGACTTTGGCAGATGGAGGAAATTAAGGCTGCCATTGAAAAAAATAGGGCATCTTGATAAAATATTTGCTATATTTGCTGAGGATAAAGATCTACCTTTATTTTCATGGTCTGAGCTGCAAAATAACATGACTCCACATCTTGGTTAATCTGCAGGAGTTGGTCTGCAATCTGCCAGGCAAACACCTAGAAATAAACATTCAAATATTATAACATTTTTAACTTTGCTGCACTGACATGATAGAAATAATATCATATATTTATTAATATTGAATAAAATTAAGTGCGTCAATTAATATTGAATAAAATTAAGTGCATCAATTTTCATGTAAGCTTTTTAAGGGAAAAATCACCGGATGAGACGAAATGTCCTAAAAAAAACTTTGGTAAATTACTAAGTTACAGCTGGAAAATAACATTTTGGTAAAAAATTGCTATAACTGCACATGTTATTTTCTGGTACAAAATAAAGTATGAAGGCATGTGTCAATTTCCTTACTTTTTCAGAAAAGCATCATCACATTGTCTTCTTTTAGAAAATCTGGTAGGAGTTCAATGGAAACTCCAGGAAATTCTGATATTTCACACTTTCTATTTTTCCAATTTTTCTTTCAAAGTTTCCAGACAACACGGGAGCTACCATTGACCTGTTTCCAGGTTTACTAAAAGTAGACAGTGTAATGATACTTTCCTGAAAAAAGCAAGGAAATACACACATGCCTTCATACTTAATTCTGTACCAGAAAATAACATGTGCAGGTATAGCAATTTTTTACCAAAATGTTACTTTCCAGCTGAACCTTAACCTCCATTTTGACTAGACCAGCCCAGAAATCCACTCTAAAAACTAAAAGATCTTGTTCTGCCAATTAACCCAGATAATTAAGGTACGAACCAAATCAGTTACACTGAGTTCAAGAATATTGAGGTATTAATGTAATTTCAGTTGCAAGGTTAGCCTCAAAGTACCTAATCATGATTATCTATTCTATACATACTATATACTGCATCCCAACACAATAGCTGTAACACACAATACTTGCAAACAACATGGGATAAAGTTCTTCTCAAGATGTGACATAGTGGTTTAAATTCAAATGAGATTTTTATTTCAACGATATATGAGACAAACATACTAATTACCAATCAACCAATAGATACACAATTCAGTTGCCATTCCAGCTGATTTTATGCCAAAGATAAATCAATGTCTCAAATTTCACAGAAACGAAGATTTCCATTTAACCAATATTGTCTCATCCTAAATGCTTATTTGCTGCTATTATAAATGGTATAGCAGTACTCTAGTTCTCATGCATTCACTTTCTTAAAGCTGAACTGCTTCCATTTTATATTACCAGTGTTCTTCTAGTATGACGTCATTGGTATTATTTCTCATGCATGGGTAGTGAGACAGTGAAAATGACAGTGCCTCTAGCGGCAAAACAAGGCTGGGACAAGATTAGTGGAGTTTCCAATCAATTTCTTCAGGTCTGACATTATCACTACATAACCAAGCGAATAGAATGATACACTTTTATTCACAAGCCTTTCTGAACTCGAACTACTATACGAAAATGTATAAACCAAAAGATCAAATTCAAATCTGATCTCGAAAAAAAAAGAAAAAAATGAATGAACCTCACCGATCTTTGCATTTCCCCCAGCCATACTGATGCTTTTTCCTTCCCTGCAATATCTGGATTACGATACAACGCTTGGAGCGCATTAAGCACTGTCTCTAGCGATGGTGCCGACTCCATCACAGTGTAATTTTACTAAAAATCACCAAAAATGCGAAAATTTTTAAAATTTTCACCGGGCGACGAACAGACGGATATCAGGCTTCTTCTCGAGATCTCTCGCTAAATCTCGTGCACTTGGCGGAAAGTACAAAATCTACACATTTGTAAGTAGATTATCTAGAATTAAAATATCTAAAGGTTTGTGTTCAAAGCTGAATTTTGATTCAATTAAATGTAGTGGTTGAAAGTGTGGGATTGACATCATCTCATTCATATAGCCAATAACTGTTACTTAGATCATGACATGAATGCTCGGCATGAATGATACAAAATAGGCCTAGGCCTACCTTACCTTCTTCTAAGGCCACTGTATCGTGGCCTTCCAGTACAGATATATTCCTGCATGAACAACTGGTCATGTCGTAATCATAAAATTTGAAATCATATGTCCGCCATTTTTCCACATCACAATTTGAATTGCGAGTTTTGGTCTTATTACCTCACCAAAAATTCCAAAACATACACAAAGTGATCAGTGTATTAGTTCACATCTTCTGGATCGCTAACTTAGAATTTACAGCCAGTTACTAATGTCAGACGTAACGACATTTCGTCCAGTTTTCGAACATCGCCATTTTTCTTGGAGCCATTTTGTTTTAATTTTAGACGAAATCCTGATGAAATCATGTCATATCTCATCAAGGAGCCGAGCTGGGTCCGGTTTGATTAATGATTTATTTATCTGGCGATTTTTAAAATATTCAATAAATTTATGACACCCCGGCAGCTTTTTTCAAATAGAGTTCACAGTATTCCAGATGAATCCCCTCTAGCCAAGTATTGGCTAGAGACTCGAGTAAGGCCTACCCAGGTCAAAATAATAGCATACATATTCAGGGTAATCATTAGCTAATGATTATGAAACAAATAGGTAACAAATAGTATAGCAATTTGACATGCAAATGAGATAATCATTCAGGGTAATCATTAGCTAATGATTGTGAATTTAATGAAACACTGATTTCTTTCTTCGTTAATCATTCAGTAATCATTCAGTAATTATTCAGAAACAAATAGTTAATTATTCAGAAACAAATCAATAATTATTCAGAAACAAATCGGTAATTATTCAGAAAGAAACCGTTAATTATTCAGAAACAAATCGTTAATTATTCAGTAATTATTCAGGTTATCTGACTCATTTTCTTCTTTATCAAGACCCTGTTGCCTCTCCTGGAGCTGTCTTGTATTATTCTGACTAATACATGCACATATCGAGGTGACATATACTCCAAATTAATTTATATTTATCTGCTCAGAAACCTAGGGCTAAAATGAGTGTTTGTGCCTAATCATGTATGGGGAACAACCCAAAATTGATCAAATTCAAAAAAAATATCTTGAATTCAAATTCATTAGAATAGAAGAGATAAATATGAATAAGTTTCAATCTAAACATGTTCTACATACCTTTATGATTATGTTGATCAAGTTTCACGATAGTCTAGCCACCCTTCAGGTTGTTTATGCTCACTTTTATTAGACAAATAATTCTCTCACATCTTAACCAAATTTTAACGTCTGCCAATGTGGGGTTTCTCATTCTAAATCATGGACTTTTAGGTAATCATTCAGAAACAAATCGTTAATCACTCAGTAACAATTCGGAATAAAAAATTCCAAGTTAATCATTCAGAAACAAATCTTTAATTATTCAGTAACTATTCAGATTATTAATCATTCAGAAACAATTCAGTTAATTATTCAGAAACTAATCAGACGTTGCTGTTAAATTCTTCAGGTTTTCTGATTAATTCCTGAAGGATTCAATAATCATTAGCTAATGATTATGAAATGATTTTTGTGTGGGTACTCCTCCCTCAAAGTGAATGATATCAAGTCTCGTGTTGTGTCTGAACTAATGTTTTCATCAGATACTTCCCATGGGCATAGCCAGGAGCCCAGGAGGAGCGATGGGTGCGATCGCATTGCAGATTTCACCCCCCACCCCCACAAAAAAGCAATTTTCTTTGTAAAAGATCCATGTGCAGTATGGCAAGTGATTTTAGACAGTCATATCTTTCACCATGAGTACTTTCTGGCCATAAATACAGTGTTTTTTATTGGCTCGTGCTGAGGCAAGAGCCATCTCACTTGGGTTTAGTAAGTGATAACGACAATGGACTGAGGTTTAAACGTTAGTTTACTACTGAGACTCAGGTTTACTACTAGCAGCTAGTAGAAAACATGATGGGTTAATATTTATTGATGAAAATGAGTTAATTCCTCAAGCAAAAGTTTAATCCTAAGGTGTTAGTTTATAATAAAATTGCGTTAGAGAGGGTTTCAAACAACACCATGAAAACTGTGCACTGATTTTCGGCAACATGATTTCCTAAATCTGACAGAAATACGAGTGACTTTTTGATTTAGAATTGTGAACAATTTACAGCATTAAAAAAACTCCGAACATTTAACTATTTTATATTAATATCTTCGGAGAACGAGAATCAAATTGACCCATCTTCACTTTTTGATATGTTTGGATGTTTTCTAAGAGGTCCAGGTACTCAGACCTTCACAATTTAAAGATCTTAATCAGTTCAAAATGTTCAGATTTTTTTCTACTTTTGCCGTTCGGTAAATTACAACCGCTTTAAAAGTAAGCATCCCTATTTATCAATACAATTCATTACAACACTGCAAACATCTCCATCACATGAGCCTTCATTTTCACTTGTTAAATAATAATGTTTTCTTTCAAGTGAAGTGCCCATGATGATAAAAATATCAATCAAAAATTATGAATGTCAACAAATTTTTCAAAATGTTAAACCTATTTACTCAAAAGAGGATCTCATTTTCTGATTTTTATTGCATGAAAGGATTATTCAAAAAGGGGTCTAAAACTTCTTCAAAAGTAGAATGGTATTGAAAGTCTAGTTTTGGAGATTTCAATTTTCGATGACCAAAATTATGCTGAAAACAATGGATAGCACGAGTTTTCCCTTTATGGGTAAATAACATGGGATACATGGTTTTTAACTTTAACACATTTCAATACCAATATCCTATTCAGAAGTTGTAAATATAGTGTAGAAGAAACTTTCAGTATGGATAAATTGAGAAAAACAAGATCCTCTTTTTAGAAAATAAGCCTAACATTTTTTTTAAAAGTGCCAAGGTGGGGTCCTAAATCATAATTTTTCAGAGAGTTTGAATGATATTTTATTATCATGGGGACTTCTCTTGAAAGAAAACATATTGTTTTAATAAAAACCACTGTATTTATGGCCAGAAAGTACTAATGGTGAAAGATATGACCATCTAAAATCACTTGCCATACTGCACATGAACCTTTGTTGATTAACAAATTATAGTTTGAAATGCTTAGAATGTACCATTCCATATACCATTGGCATCGGAAGGGAGAGAGCGTTGGGGCGACCACTCCCCTCTTTTTCCCAGATTTTTTATAAATATCTTACCATTTCTGTATGTGATATGGTACACCTGATATTATTTTCACTTCAAGATGTGATTGAAATACTTCTATTTAGTATTCAAGCAATTCAAAATAATGTAAAACAATATTTAAGGGATGTTAAGTACATGTAGTTTACTCTTTACTTCAGGACGGGCTTGGTAGGTGTAGGATACTTGAGGGTATCCTTCCTCCAGAAAATTTTACCATTATCAAAATGCGATTGCGTGAAAGTTCTGGGCACTTTTGGTTTGTTTGAGTCATTTGAAAATAAAATTCAAAAAATTATGGTGATGAGGCGCTCCTGTACAGCAAGTAAACTTTGCAATACATGTATATACTAGAATAAGCTTACTTGATTCTGTTTCAAGTTTATCAGGCATAGGACCTCCATTGCCTGATTATGTAGTTGTTTACTCCCTCTGGTGCTATGGTAGCAGCATCTCTTAATCACCCTTTATTTTGCAAAAGCCAATCATTTTTGAAACTTAGTTTATTAAACTTTATACCCATCTCAATCAAAATTCACAAAGGTGACTTAGTAACTGCAAAATGAATAATGGGAAATATTTTTACCTTGAAAGCACATATAGTTAATACTGTCATCGACCATCTTAATACTCTCATATGGATGGTTGAAATTAATTTAATCTAATTTTGCTTATTGAGCTCAATTTGAATTTTCAGATACAATTGCTTAGACCATACAGAATACAATGTCTGACTTCAGTGAAAGTTTGCCTACAGCTCTTGCCCAGTTACAAGGTATGTATCTGACATAGTGGCACTTTGCCTGTGATATTTGCCTAGTTACAAGGTATGTATCTGACATAGTGGCACTTTGCCTGTGATATTTGCCCATTTACAAGGTAATATATCTGACATAGTGGCACTTTGCCTACCACCCTTGCCGAGTTACAAGGTAATGTATCTGACATAGTGGCACTTTGCCTACCACTCTTGCACAGTTCCAAGGTAATATATCTGACATAGTGGCACTTTGCCTACCACCCTTGCCGAGTTACAAGGTAATGTATCTGACATAGTGGCACTTTGCCTACCACTCTTGCACAGTTCCAAGGTAATGTATGTTATGTGGCATTAGTAACAGTTTACCTAGGCTTGCCCAGTTATAAGGTAATATAGTTATGTCTGACTTTAGTAACAGTTTGTTTATCACGCTTGCCGAGTTATAAGGTATAATGTATGTTATGTCTGGCTTTAGTAACAGTTTGTTTACCACGCTTGCCTAGTTATACTGTTATAAGGTATAATGTATGTTATGTCTGACTTTAGTAACAGTTTGTTTACCACGCTTGCCGAGTTATAAGGTATAATGTATGTTATGTCTGGCTTTAGTAACAGTTTGTTTACCACACTTGCCTAGTTATAAGGTATAATGTATGTTATGTCTGACTTTAGTAACAGTTTGCCTATGCTTGGTGTTACAGCTAATGTATGTTATTCTGACTTAAGTAACAGTTTGTTTACCATGCTTGCCAAGTTACAAGGCTTTTGTAACAGTTTGACTACCATTTTTGTCTAATTAAGGTCATATATGTAATGTCTGAGTTAGTGGCACTAAGTTACAAGTAATGTATGCTTTGTCTTATTTAGTGCCAATTTGCCGACTATGTCTACCTAATTATATCTGGCTTGAAAATATAATAAACAACTGTATATCTTTGCAAAAACAAAAGACAATAATTTCTGTTGCTTCTGTATTTTTACCTACATAGTATGACAATATACTATACAATATAATGCATACATATGGATCTTAATTGTTCTCCTTGGGTCCGATCGAGCCAACCCCAGTATGGAGCTCCTGTATCAACATTATTACCCGTTCTAGACTCATACAGCAGTACTGCACCAGGAGGACGACGCACTCCTTGATAAAGGAAACGTGAGTAATTGAAACGTCGTCCAGTTGTTAGCCATTCATACTCACTACCAAAAGTCCCCAAATTGTGACCACTTGTCCAATATGCTAAGTCCTGTCCATTATCTGGCCTCAGATCTAAAAAGTAAAGTCAAGTAAAATTTTTAATGATATGGGCAGTGTATTGTGTGGGCCACATTATTTGTTATATTGGTATTTTCACTGGCATGTAGCGGCCCTGATATCGATAAATTCTACACGCAATATAACCCGATTTTAGATGCGTAGTTAAAACTTTACACGAAAAAGCCTCGATATCCGGGCATTTACTCTTACACTGAACTGAAAATAGCATCGTCTAAACGTGTATGTCTTGGCTTCCGGGTAAGTTTATCAACATTTATACTCAATTGAAAGAGCAGTCGTGCTTATATCGTGTACCAGTTTGATTGTTTTATATCTGTGTGTATTTATAATATGATAGTCTAGTAATACCGTGTCGTTAGAACAAGTGCTAGATATCGAACTGATGACCTGAAATTAGATTATTGGACTGATCGCGCATCTGATATTAGATGATTAATTTGCATTGAATCTGATATTAACTTGCAACCCAATACTACAGTAAATACCATGACTTTACATTAGAATGATAACACGGCCTCATATTCTAATTCATTATACGTCCATTGCAGGCCAAAAATGTTTCAATGTGGATATTGTAATGCACACGAGAATACATTCGATTCGTATATATTGACACCCCAGTTGTCCGAAACCCAGTTGTCCGAAACCCAGTTGTCCGAAACCCAGTTGTCCGAAACCCAATTCCCCGAAACCCAGTTGTCCGAAACCCATTACTCCGAAAAATAAAGTCATAATTTACCAGAGAAAGGGGGGGGGGCGTAGCTTACTTAAGCTTACGTCAGTTTCATGCCATGTATTTGGCCAAATTAATGGCATGGACGCATTCTGATATTCATAGATCTCTCTCTCTCACTTTGAATTGCATCCATTGTATGGCGTTACCAGAATGGCAGGAACGGGAGATTTATTTTACATTGTGATTCTAAAAAAGGTTATTAAAACACAATATATATTACGGAACAGTTTATCTTATCTTCTTCAATCTCTTTTATATAGGCAAAATAAAATGAAACATTTTGAAACAGATAAAATAAGGTATCGCATAGAACTTTAAGAATAAAACAGATATACAAATTACGTTGTCAAAATATTTCGTCGCATTTAATTTCTTAGTCTCAGTCTCTTATCAAATCGTAAAAGAATAAAACATTCTAAACTTAATCACTTGGGATTTATATTTCGGCATTCGTTTCAGGCATTTGTTTTTTATGTTCTTCTCCTGAAATGTATTTGTTTGACAATAATCAGAGAAAGTGTGTATACGTATAAATATGCCACGCAAACAAACGGGTGTGACTTCAATTTCTTGTCTGTCTGAGGACGTATTGGGAACGAGGTAGAATTAAAGAATTCTTATGAACAAATGTATTGGCTAAGTTAATTTCTGATGGATCTGGATAAAATATATTTCAAAACTTTGTCAACACTAGATAACTTCATTTAGGCAGATATAGTATCTTGATATATTTGGCTATCATGCGTTTAAAATACGTTCCTAAAACTATGAAGACGTTGGGTGAGAAATATTGCTATTGTACGTTCGAAAAGTATTTGGTTGTATTTTGTAGTTCTCAAGTTACCCATGAACTTTCGTGGGCTAATTAACGTCTTGACTTAGCATATTTAGCCTAATTTTGCAATGATGTCAACGTGATTCAAATGTTATGCTGTCGTGATTCGCAGAGGTTGCGACAAGATTCGTTTTAAGAAATTGTATTTTTTGATAAGATCCCCTAATTTTCGGAGAACTTGGTTTCAGACAACTGGGTTTCGGAGAATTGAGTTTCGGACAACTGGGTTTCGGACAACTGGATTGACCCCTATGAGGGTTGATCATACATCAATTGAACATGGAGATTTTCCTGTACACTTTTCCCAAACATGTGGAATAGACTAGATGCGAGTAGAAATTATCTTGATTTATCCTATGCCAAGTAGGGTTTTAGGGAGATAAGTTGGTAAGATATATCCCGTATCCTGATTTTGAGGTTTCCATATCAAGAACCTCCACATCTCCCGTCATATCTCCCGCTTCGGTGCATATCTTCCCGCTTCGGGGCGTATCTTCCCGCTTCCAAAAAGTGGAAATGCAATAAAATGACTTTGCATATGAATGATTTGTTTATTTTTTACACCTTGTACTACTGAAAACTCTACTTGGTATAGGATAAAGCAGTTATGTACGGTCGGTTTGGATATTGGGTTCATCCCTCGTGAGATATGCACATCTACTTTCTGTCCCTACGGTCCCTCAGGTAGATATGCATATCTCCCTCTGGAAAAACCCCGTATCCAAAACCTCCCAGTACATAACCCTTATATATTTATCCCATGGTTACAAGGATATAGATCGAATATCACGTGAAGATATAATTGATACGTGGATGAAGATATATTTTAGCAAACAATTTCCAAATCATCGAATATCACTTTTGAAACCATCGAATATCACTTTTTGAAAGGTGATATTCGATGGTTTCAAATTGATATTCGATGGTTTCAAAAGTGATATTCGATGGTTTTGATTTTTTCAATTTTTTTTATTAATTCAGCAAAACGATTGTTTATGAATACCTAGCAAGAGCTCAAAAAGTTCAATCATCTATTTATCTCAAAAAGACCTCAAAAATTGAGCTTGAATTAGAAATATGTCTTCTAAAATCTTCCTCGCCTGGACCTGATGGGATTCTACCATCACTTATTAAGTCTGTAAGACAGTTTTTAATTGATCCGCTCTTGTATATATTTAACTTATCTTTTAAATCTGGTATTTTTCCAGACGCCCTCAAATTGGCCAAAGTAACACCTGTATTTAAAAAAGGAGTCACTACAAATCCTTCGAACTATAGACCAATTTCAGTTTTATCGGTATTTTCTAAATTGTTAGAAAAGCTCATGCACGCCAAACTCACTGGTTTTTTAGAACGTTTTGAAATTATTTTTACTTATCAATTTGGATTTCAGAAATTCAACTCTACCTACATGGCCATTTTATATTTCATTGAACAAATTCGAAAATCAACTGATTTGGGGAAAACGAGCATTGGCATAACATTAGATTTTTCCAAGGCCTTTGACACTATTAATCATGACATTTTGATACAAAAACTTGAATATTATGGCATCAGAGGAATAGCTAAGTCCTGGTTTGAAAGTTATTTAAAAGACCGCAAACAATATGTCACCATTAACAATTATGAATCTAAACAATCATCTCTAAATTGTGGTGTTCCGCAGGGCTCGGTGCTTGGACCACTATTATTTATTCTTTACATAAATGATCTGCCTTTTGTTGACCCTAATCTAAAATTTATTATGTTTGCTGATGACACCAATCTTCTTGATAGTGATTATGATTTAAATGAACTAATGCAAACTTGAATTCAATAGATGACTGGATAAAAGCAAACAAACTTTCACTTAATATTGGCAAAACCAATGCTATTCTATTTGGACCCCAAAAAAATCAAACAAATCTGAATCTCAAAATACGCAATGAGAACATAAATTTCCGGGATAAAATTGACTTTCTTGGAATTATTATTGATAAAAACTTGAAATTTAAAGAGCACATAAAATCTATTGAAACAAAGATTTCTCGCGTCATTGGTTCTCTTTATCACATTAAACATCTACTTCAAATAGACAGTTTCAAAACAATTTACTACTCATTGATACACTCTCAATTAAATTATTGCAACATAATCTGGGGTAACACATTTAAATCATTTTA